ATTATTTTTTATTCTGTCTTTTACAGCAGTATTTCAAAACTGGTGTTGAATCTTACCTTTACAAGGTTAATTTTAAATCTGTACAAGTTTGGGGTGGATTTTTGCTTAGAAGAATTTTGTAAAAGTAAGGTGATTTCAGGTGTACATGTACTTTTTTCCCCAAACAATTGTAATTGCATACATCTTTTTATCTCTCCAGTTTATAAACAGAGATCATTTCTGAAAGGTAGAAAACTTGAAACTGAGTACTCTCAAATTGCTGACTTTTTTGATTTTTAAAAATGGAAGTTTCTATTCAATTTCAGTAGGTATAGGTCTTTCTGAATTTAAGTCTGTGTCTACGATGCTGGCTGATTGTTCCCCGCTTCCCTAAGTGAAGATTCACCTAAAATAAATACTGCACATTTAAAGCAAATAATAATTAGGAGGACAAAGACCTTCCTAGGAGTGAATGTACAGAACTTTTTTATCCTACATAACTGCTAAGTAAATTTACAAATCCTATCACACAGACGTTAACTGTATTTACTTGTAAAACTTACTCTGTAAACAGTCTTGGAAGTAAACTTCCACTGTCTTTTTTAGGTGAAAATGGAGTGTAAATTGGTTTAAAATGCAAAGTTTAAAAAAAAAACAACCAATACCACAACAAAAAACCCAACACTGTATAAATGTATAATGCACTAAAGAAGAATGACTAAGATTGTGTAGCTTAAGTAGCTTAATCTTCATGTAGTTTATAGTAATGAGTAATTGTGTGAACAGTGTTGCTTTCTTCCTGGCTCATAATAATAATAAGAAGGGCTACAAATTTATGCCTCAGGTTCTGGCATCTGAATTGAGAGTGATGCTTGCTGGCTCCGAGAGCCCTGTGCCGTGTGACAGATAGGGACGTTAGTGTGAGTCAAAGTTAGCTACAGCTATTTCAGGGCTGCTGTCCTGCTCAGCTTTATGCTCCTGGAATAAATAGCACGAGGGGCTGCGTGCAGCAGGAGCGCCCAGTCAACCACACAGCATTGCGGGTGCATTCCTACAGGCTGAAAATACTTCTTTTTAGCATGTCCCTCCCTGAATGAAGAGTTTCATCATTCATAACAATATGGCTGAAGCATTGTCCTCAGTCCTTTTCCCTCCAAAATCACTTTGCTAGTTTGTCCTCTTTTTATGTGTGCTGGTGGCTGTAGTGACATGAGAGTCTTTATTTGACAATATATGAGCAATGAGTAATATAGTATGGCCAGGACAAGTGGGTCACTCCTAGCTGTGATAAAGCAGAAAACAGTAGTACCCTTTTATGAGCATTTACTCATGTAAAAGCTGTCAGCTTCTAAAATTAGGCATGAAATGCCATCATGGGAAATTCTTCTTTTTAGGGCTTGCCCTCTCCAGTTTACCTTAATCTTTGAGATACAAGTATGTCCCTTTATTGGTTACATGAATAAACTATTGGACTTGCTTCAGAGATAACACCTAATTTAAAGGTGAGATTGAATCAGTTGTTGAAAATAGTCTATTTGGAGAAGCTTAAATAGCTTCATGTATCTCGGTGTCGCACTGAATTGATTCCCATCCCCCCTCCTGTTTGTTCATCTCGGAGGGAGAAGTAATCATTATTTTAGCAAAGATAGGAGTGAAAACTTAAATTGAAAATGTCACCTTGACACGTCTTTTTTAGTTGAATTTTCATGTAATGGTATGTTATTTAATCTTAACTGATAATGATAAAAGCCCTACTGAAGACAGTTTTCAGAGGGTTGTTTAAAAAAAAAATCCCTTTGTTCAGAAAGAAGCAGGAAAATTAGTGGTATGGTATCCTTTAACCATCAGGAAAGGGCTGGCAACAGCAGTAAGTGACTGGAAACATAGGAGGGTGAGGTGCTCACCTTGTGTGAATTGCCAGCAGCAACTGAAGTTGATGGATAGCATTTTAGAGAGGAGTCTCTCTGGAACTCCTCATCACTAGCCTCAGCAGTTCTCCTGTCCATCAGATGTTTTGTTTACAGTGTTCAGCCAATTACTTAACATGAAAATCCTTTGCGTTGTACTGTAGTGAGTTCTGATGAGCACTTTGTCAGTAAAGATGCAGTTGTGGCAGTAGTGGGAAACGGTGATTTCATCTGTGTAAAAGTGCCTTCAGGCTTTCGCTCTGAATTTTTCCATCTGCTGGGAACTGTGAAATACTGAATTTCATCTGGAATATGTTCACAGGTTTTGGTGAAGCCTTCAGAGGTAGACATGGTTTCATTGGAAATTTCTCACATTTCCTTAGCCATGGATTTTTTTTTTTTTAAGATGTTGTGTGGATTTACATGTTTCACGTTACAGGCAGTCCTCAGAATAAATGTGTTGCACAAGTTCATATTACTGTTGGAGTTCATTTGTTATAAAAATAGATCCTGTTGATCATGTGCTTTATAAAGCATGATAGATCTATTTCCTTTAAAAGCACAGAGGTTGTAAACATGCAACAAAATGATAAAAATATCATTCTGCATTTGCTACTTCTTTGTTCTAATTAGGCTAGAAGCTGCAAATATTGATGCTAAAACCAAAGCAATGAAAAGTAGTCAACCAGAACTTTAGGACAAGCAGTAACCTCAATTCACATCTGTGTGTATTGCTTGACTGTCAAAATAAGATGTGCTGGATCCAAAATTAGAGTATGCAAGCAGATACATGCATCAGAACACCAACATACGGGAACTGCGTTGAACAGTTGCAGTCTATGTTTGTGTACGTGGAATTTAGCTTTTAAGTTCACACAGTGCTGTGGCAGTAGTAAAAAGACATATGAAGCCTGTGCAGCGTGGATGCTTGGGGTTTTGAGAGCTCATTTCCTGAGCCAGCGGATAGTTCAGTTCTCCTGCTGA